ATCTTTTAGAATGGCAGAAACACTCAGCACTTTTAAAAATACTGTAGTGTTATTGAGATCAGGAAAGTATCGGGTAATGATAAATACTCTATACTAAGTTCCACCCTCAACCGCAGCCACCCAAATATCCTTTCCACGATCCTGCTATGCATAGTCATTTCATAATTGACATAGACCTCTTTAGATTTAAGACATATGCATGAAAATATTTTTTGCTCCTCAGGCAGAAAATGGTGGTGGGATTATTGAAAGCTAATGCTTGACAAACTTGCTAGACAAAAGCAGACCCTTGTTTCTAACTTTACCAAACCAAATAAGCTTTTCTTTTGAGTCCCCACTCTCTCCACACCATAATCAATCTCTTTTGCATCTCTGAGCAAGACTGAGCCAAGAGACTGATTCCAGATGTAACAGATGATACCCCCCAGTGGGAATACATCATTTATTTTTATCAACATACTAGAAGCCCGGTGCATGGATTCATGCACATTGAAAGGAAATTAATTAGAAGGTGGCTGGTGGGGCGGGACTAGGCAAGACGGGCCGGACACACCCTGGAGCCAACCTCCAGTGGTCCCTCCCCGGGGCAGCGCCGGGGCTTGAAGGGTGTCTGTGGAGTGAGCGGGGACCCTCTTACAGGTGGGGTCCCTCAGCCTGGCCTGCGGGGATCAGGCCGAAACCAGCAGTCCGACATCCCCTGAGGGGTCCCAGAGTGCAAGAGGGCACCCTGCAAAGTTGCTGTCACTCGGCAGCTCCTGCATTGAGCATCTCCCCCCTGGTGGTCAGTGCACGTCATACCTACCAGATGGTCAGGCAGTTGCTTAGCCTTTCATATATATAGATTTAATCCCTGTGAAGGAATGCCCTTGTACCTTACCATTTAACAGTAATTAGAAAGGCATTGGTTAGGAGCAGTCTATTTAAAAGATAGTGCTGGATATTTGACCCTAAGAAAATAGAGATGCAGGTAGAGATTCGTGTACAGGATGTTCAACTCAGTGTTATATATATTAGTAAAATTTAAAAGAACTAAATGTCCAACAATATGGTATAAACTAAGTAAATGAAGTTCAGCCATATGTTGGAATTCTATGCAGCTATTCAGATGTTTAAAAGCAGTATTAACTGACATGAGAAAATGCTCATGATCTATTTAATGGGGGGGGGGGATAGTTGCCAAACAGAACGCTTATAATGACCTTCAATTTTAGGGAAAAAATGTGTATAAACATTTTATATACATTGGCAAAGCCCTTCTGCCAAAAGAGTACCAGGAACACACCAGTAGTTGAACAAGCTGGGTTTATTTTTTCACTGCAGTGAGGGAAAACATGCACCACAGAGAACTGAGGGGTGTCTCAAGAAGGTAATAGAAAGGACTTGCAGGATCTGGCCTTGGGTTAAGTGATTTTAAGGAAGGTTTAAGGCAGCAGGGCTTGCTCTGGATTGGCAGCTGTCAGGATGTGGGGTAGTTTTATGGTTGGGTGCCTTAGTAAATCTTTATCTAAAAGGAGAAAAGACTAGATCAAGTCTAAAGCTGTCGTTTGTTTTTTAAAAAATAGAATAGTCACTCTTATTAGCCAGGATAGGGACATGTTTGGTCATTTTTATAGTTTGGAGACGGTTCATGTTTGTGTTCAGGCATGATTATGAAGTGGTTTTAATTTTGTCTGGATCCATCACAGTTACGGGATGACCTTATCTGATATCAGTGTTGTGGGGAATGGGTTTTGTTCAATAAGAGCCCACCAAAGTTTAGATGTGAGTCCCATGTCAGCTCTTACCAAGTCCAGCTGACAACACCAGGCCAATTTGGGATGGCAGGGGTTGATTTTATTTTTCACACACACACATTCAGAGAAGACTAGAATGATAACAAATATCATTTACTATGCGTTTGTGATATTCCATGCCTTTTTAGTGGCTTATGTCTTTTTTAAAAAATATTTTTCTATTGAGTTCAGAGAGGAAGGAAGAAAGAGAGAGATAAATAGAAACATCAGTGATGAGAGAGAATCATTGATCGGCTGCCTCCTGCATGCTCCCCCATGGGGGATCAAGCCAGAAACCCCAGCATGTGCCCTGACCAGAAATCTAACCGTGACCTCCTGGTTCATAGGTCGATGCTCAACCATCAAGCCACACCGGCCGGGCAGTGCCTTATATCTTTTCACCTATGTAATCCTCACTACAACTCTATGGGGTGGGTACTGTTATTATTGCCATTTTCCATAAGTGTGGCATAAAGAGGTCAAGTCCTTACCCAATGCATCATCACAGTAAGTGGTGGAGTAAGGATTCAACCTAATGGAACCAACAGCCCTAACCTTTATATAATGTTGTCTGTGTGTGCAACAACTTATCAACAGCGGTTACCTTTGAAAGGTGGTGGGAGTACAGAGATACAGAGATGTTTTTGTTCCCTTCTTTTTCTTGTTATTTTTAATTTTTCTACAATTAGTATGTATTAATTTGTAATCAGAAAAAGGAATCATTTACTCATGTACTGATGGAAGCTCTGTTCCCAAGGTCACTGTCTCAAATGCAAACTCAAGTCTTTGGTGGTGGCAATGCTCCCCTGAATGTCTGATCGAGAGAGGAGACACTACCCTCTCTCCTCTTTCTTGCCCCAGCTCAATTTTGACAATGCTAACTGGATTGTGCGCAATAAAAAAGTGGCAGAAAGATCAACTTGCAGGCTGTTGGGTGTCTCGGAATTAAAGCAGGCAGGGTGGACGTTTCCCCAGACCTCCATAAGGACCATTAGGAAGAGTTGGGAGAACTAGAAGCAAATGCCTCGGCCTCAAAGGAAAGGCCCTTTCCATGTGGGAGGACAACACTCCCACCAGGCCAGCTGAGCGATGCTGGGTTTCTCCCGCTCTAAAACTCAGCCCAGGCGCGGAGAGAGGGGACGCCAGCGCTTCCGCCAGCACGAAGGCTAACATTCAAAGGCCAGAAATGCCAGGGATGGGCGAGAACCAAGGTTAGGAGGGAACCATTTGGAGGGACAAAGACCAGAATAAAAGGAGCGTCGCCAAAATGTGAAAGCTCCCAAAGAGACCTGTGAGCTGGTTTCCCTTCTCTTACCTCTGCCGCTGAGCTAGCATCAGAGCACATGCAACATCTCTGTTCACTCCCCGCGCAGAGACTGACTTTAGGCCTCCTGAGAAGTGCCCACCCACCAGCTGCCCCCCTGCTCAGCCCTAAAGAAGCCTAAAGAAGTAGCTCCCGGTATTCCCCACTGCAGCCGCCGCCGCCCCCCTCTCCCCCCCGCGCCTGCCTTTCGGTCTAAGGGCGCCCACCCTGCCATTTAGCACCTTGGCTGCGCAGTGGTGGGTGGTTTCCCAAAGCGGGTGCCCTAGCAGCCCCTCGCGCTCGCCTCGCCGCTTGCAGGGGCACAAGTCAATGAGGCTTTTCCCTCCGCGATCATCGTGAATCAGCAAAGCGCTGCAGAGCAGCAGCGTAACCGCAAGCAGAAATGAAGATGCTGGGGGAAGGGCACGAGCAGAGTGTAGCAGGGGAATTTCTAGCCCCTCCCAATATGTCCCTCCAGGGGAAGGCAGTACGGAGTGGCGTGGGGAGGTGCTGGCTGCTGCTGCTGGTGAACTTGGGCGCCCAAGAGGAGCCTTTGGAAGCAGTGAGCGGTGTGGGGAATAGCGAGGGTGAACAGAGAAAGTGAAGGAGAGAGTACAGAGGGCTGGAAGGACCAAGGAGCGCAGGCGGAGCAGAGCGGTTGCACCCCCGGGCTGGGCGGCTTAGCAGTTTTAGGTGCTGCTGAGGGACTATAGGAAGGAGTGTCTAGTCTGATGGAAGGAAGAAGAGAAACCAAAAAAGGAGGATTTCCCAGCTCACGACTTCCTGTTTCCAACGTGCAAGTTCCCAAGTTCAGTTTGAGAAGTGCAGGGCCGCTTGGCATTGGGAAGCAACACCTCCCTGAGTCGCGTTCTCCCACCCATTTCCCTCTCCCTCTCCCCGTCCCCTCTCTTCCTCTTCCTCCTCCTCTTCCCCTCCTCTTCCTCTTCCTCGTCCTCCTCCTCGCCCCAGTCCATCATCCCTCAGCTTTGGTTAATATGCATGTCCATGTTCAGTGGTGCGGGCCACAGTCCAGGGATCGCGCCTCTATTTGCGGCTTGACCCTTCGTATTAGGAGGCCAAGCAGGAGCTACCAGAGGCTTTGGGATGCGAAGGCTGAGCGCTAGGGGAGGAAAGCCTGGGGACCCCCTCGCCACGCCCCAATCCCCACCCCCATGGCCGGACTGAGCGACTCAGTGGCCCAGACTCCAAGATCCCGCTCGGTCTGCGCTGCAGTGGATGGACCCCGGGGACTGGGAGCGCGCAACGAAAGGCGCTAAATTGTACCTGTGCATGGCCGTCCCCGCCGCTGTTGGTCTATCCCGGGCCCGAAGCCGGTGCCCGCCTTCTCGGGGAATTCTCTGGAGGGGGGATTCGAGGGGAACCACAGTGGCTGCCTGATAGCTCGAGGCTGGTGCTCACACGTACACGCCCAACTTTGTCGAGCCTTCGGCGCCCAGGGGCTCCCCCGCGCCCCCTGCGGCTCGGCACGCTCAGAGACCGGTATCTCTCCAGGTCTGAGATAAGGGGTCCCCCACTCCCCACATTCGCGCATTTGAGGAGGAGAGAGTGGGGTGGAGGAGAGAAGGGGAGTAACGCTACGGACTCCCAGACCAGCTGTTCTCAAACATTCTACACCCGCACGGGCGCCCGCTCCAGAGGCGGAGGAGGAGGAGGAGGAGGAGGAGGAGGAGGAGGAGGCAGGGCGGAGAGCCGAGAGTCTGAAAGCACCAGAGCCCTGGTGACCCGTGGCTCCAGCGACTGACCATCATTAGCAACACTTTTATTACTGGGGGACGGGGCGGGGAGGTTGAGGGGCGCGCAGCAGAACTGCCCAACCCCAATCCGTCTGGAGCGATCCTAAATGAGGGTTTGTATAAAGATTCTCCACAGGCGCCTTTCGGGCGGACGTACCCCAGACACGCACCGGACCCCGTGGTCCCGCGGAAACTGCAGTGTTGGGCTATTTTAAATGGCTCTTACTTGAAAGGAGGCGTGATTTCCACGTTCGAGCGTCTTCGCTCCCCACCCCCTCTCCGCACCAGCCAGTGCGCGCCACCACCTGAGCTTGGCGAGAGCCAGAGCGCACGCAGTCTTCAGCCTCCTCCTTTCCGCCTCTGGGGGAGCTCGGCTCTGAGCGGGTCCGCCTGATGCCCCCCGGGAGAACTCTTTACTTTTTGTTTGGAAAATCGGGGCCATTTCTTTATTCATCTCTGGGGCTCCCCGGAGGATACAGGGGAGGAGAAGGCGTGAGCG